AGTACTAACGGTTGAATAAGATCTGCAGATATTTATGTAAGCAGATGCAGTACTAACGGTTGAATAAGATCTGCAGATCTTTTATGTAAGCAGATGCAGTACAAACGGTTGAATAAGATCTGCGGATATTTATGTAAGCAGATACAGTACTAACGGTTGAATAAGATCTGCAGATCTTTATGTAAGCAGATGCAGTACTAACGGTTGAATAAGATCTGCAGATATTTATGTAAGCAGATGCAGTACTAATGGTTGAATAAGATCTCCAGATATTTATTTAAGCAGATACAGAACTAACGGTTGAATAAGATTAAAATTCCGCTCGTATTTCATCATCTACAGAACAGATATTAAAAAAAGAAAGAAACCAGCTATATAACATTTGTAGTTAAAATTTTCAGCAGAAAAGACACGGAAACATTTCATCTGAATTTTTAGCATCATGGTCATTCAACAACTCATGCATATGCACAGTAATCTTTTGTAGAAGGTGTTGTCATAACAACGCCGGAGTGTTCGTTTTCGATGATTCACTGACGAGAATGACTCATTCATCTCAAACGGGTGATACTGTGATACAAGTTACATTATTTTACTTTTAACTTTTACCTACAACAGTTATTAACTCACATACACAAATAAATTAATCTTATTGTTTGAGCAAACAACGTAAAGCTCTAACACAAAAGGGAAGAAGAGGGGGAAAATACTTTTTTTTTAGTCTCACAAGATCGTTTGTTTATTATCATTACTGAACTTCGAATATCCTAACAACCACCTGTTATTCTACTTTAAGAGACCTGCAAGCGGAAAAGCAAAATTCGAAATTTCAAGCCTAACTTAAAGCCGCACGTAATTTACAGTTAATGTAATGTGAAACAAATCATGGTCAGTTGTAGAGTGTGCACGAAAGACAACAATTACGCCAGAGCTTCCAACGCGAAATGAAAACAGCATAACTGTTTTGGCAATGTCAACTAGCTAGGACACGGTTTTAAAACGAACACCTTTCAGTACAGATTTCACAGCCCTTACAATTGCTTTAACATTTTCTTTAAGCGCAAAAGTGTACAAGAGGCTAGCTGCACTGTGCCAACCGGATGGATCGAATCCTGAACTTTAGCCTTATAAGACCTCAAGATTACCTACCGTCAGCTCAGACAGTACAAAGAAGTTTAATAGTGTGCTGTAGACCAAAATATGTTTCCTCATACGTGTTACTGTTTTCTAAAATTTCTAAATAAGCAGCGGTTATCTTGAAAAATAAAGCATAAAACGATTGAAAGAATACTATCAGAAGACGAATATAAATTATTAGCATCTATAAACTATATGTTTCTATATGGATTAACAAAAACTCAAACACTTTTAACTAACAGACTAAGAACTCGAACATTATTATAGTACAGGAAACAGTTAAATCCGTAACAATAAGCTTACGGTTCGGGTGTTAAAAACATTCTTTGTGTTATGAGCTATAACAGACTTATAAATAGCACAATTCTACTCATAAGTTAACCTCGAGGTCGTGTTATTCAATACGGTAATACCGGCCATTAGTTCTTGGCCTATTTACATAAACCATACTGTTGATATCATTCATTAATCATAGCAAGCGAGGTATAATAGCTTATTGTTATATCAATATGTGTTCTGCAACATGACAATACATTTATATCCATGCGGCAATTTCGAAATGTCATGGTCTCAAACTTTTCTGTCCAATTTTCTCTCAAGCTAGATAATCCGACATACGAAGAACATTTACATATCTGATCTAATTTGAAACTCGAATCTCTGCTACCATTATTTATTACAACGGTAACTCGACACAGATGTTACAAGCACTTTAACTCGCAGGAGCATTTATCGATTAATGGTAGCATCCGGCTATATGAAAGACACTGATTAGGTATTATAATGAAACGAAGGAACAACTGAATATTTACATCAGAAATTGGGTCACTCTGTAATTTCAGCAACTGACTTGAAGTACTTCAAGCAAAAACAAAATATTACACACACAAAAGCTATCGCTTCCCGCCCCCTAGTGGCACAGCGGTATGTCTGCAGACTTACAACGCTAGAATCTAGGTTTCGATACCAGTGGTGGACAGAGCTTTGAGCTTAATTACAAACAAACAAACAAATTGGTTACCTTTTTCTTGACGAGGTGTGAAAAAACGGCTATTGTACACACGTTGAACAACCAAAATGATTATTTGACAAAAACTGGATCATTTAATATATATACTTAAGGTACAATGTATATTTCAAAAACACACATATGAATTAACTATCGTCTATAGCTTATTGTGTTATTCATATTTAAATTAGTAATGACATAAAAAGAACTAAGAACTAGATAGTTTCGAGATTTAGAATGACGCAACGCCTGTGATGATGACTCGACACCGAAATAAATTAATAAGATATAAAATATCAAGTTTCAAAGTGTTGAAATTCGCATGATTTAGCACATTATTTGGCTATTATCACATCGGCATATGTAAAAGAAACTACGGTAGAGTAACAGAAAATTCACGTCGTTTCACCCCATATGTTAGAAACGATGTTAACATTTTATTTGTTCAGTTACTCCAGACTGTGACTCATACTAAAAACGAAGGTTGAAGGGAAGGTGGGGAGATGCGAGTGACAGGATGAAACAAAAAGTTTCGTTGTTTTTATTTGTTGCAACATGTCAACATGTAGTTTTAATCTATCGTAATGAAAATGCGTACAAAAAAAAAACGAGTTGAGGATTCTGGGAAAGAAAATCATATTACACAAAACTTTAAGGTATGTCTGCTTTATCAGATATGTTTGTTTTTGTTTGATAAAAGCAACACAATGGGCTATCTGTGCTCTGCAAACCACGGGTATCGAAACCCGGAAGTTGGTATTCGTTTACGCTCACAACAAGCCAAACAGCACCATATTCCGGAGCCATATATACCTTAAGTATATATATATTAAATGATCCAATTACTGTAGACTCGTTATTACATATTCTTTAATTAAATGAAAAATCCACAACTACAAGTGGTACGCAATCCTTGTTTTAAACTTCAAACTCAGGCCTCAAAAGCTACAAGTAACTCTGTGTACAGTAAGTTCAGGAAAGCTTAGACCAAGTTGTTAAGAGATCTGTCGAACAAACCTGAACCCAACTAAACTCTATTGAGGTATCCTAAAACACTTTGAAAATCATCTTATCTGTGCGATGTACGAACCCCATAGTTGATGGCAAAACATTTTATAAAGTTGTCAGTGATACAATACACAAATGCCTAGACGTATATATATTTCTACCGATTCCCAAGTGTTTGAAATATTTTTGGACCTACTCTACAGTTGTATTCCAGCATTATGATGACAACGTTCAAGCAACTCTTCATTCGTTCATGAAATGGACAGCACATTCTACAAAAAGTTATCACATAGGCTCTCACTAACATAACTTAAAAGTGTTAATTATATGGACCCACTGAATGTTATACACTTACTATACTCACTTTGTAATTCGCTTGCTC